TTTGATAGCTGTGTAGAACCAGGGTCAGTGAGTTGCATGGCAGATGCTGCAGATATAAGATAAAGGTGATAAGGTTATTGGCAGTAAAGCTGCCAATGCCAAGTGGTTCAGGGAAAGATTCAAAGCCAGGAAACAGAATAGGATAATAGGGAAAAATGAGGGACTAGAGTTGTTCAGTGAAGTAAAGGTTGTAGGGGAGATGAGATTGAGAAAATAAATATAAGAGAATGGGATATCTGAGTTTAAGATTTTAGAGAATGAACAGTTCCCAATGATTACAAGGTCTAGAATGTGGTCATTAACATGGACTGCTGAAATGTAATAGAGTCAAAAGTCAGTAGCAGTAAAGTCAAGAACCTGCAAGAATGGAAAAATGGTTATATCCAAAGAATGGTGAAATCACTTAGGATGATGGGCTGGAGTTGGGGTAGTGGAGTAAAGTTAACCCAAAGTGCAGAGAGTATAATCAGGAAGTCTGTACATAGTAACATCATATAGAGATAAGGGGTAATGAGACAGAATGACAAGAGCCTCAAAAGTGATTTTTACATGAGGATAAGGATTAGATTAGGGGTCTAGAAGTGGCAATGGTGGTTCTTGGATCTCTGGCTCTGAATTTAGAAAATAAATAGTCTCATGAACTTTTCAAGTTATATTTTTGACAAAGAACCAGTCAGGTTTCTGTTAAAGTAATGAGGTGATGAGAGAATTCTGTAAAGTGAGGATGCAGGAGAGTTATTTAGGGAGAGAGTTCTAAAGGACAGAGTGGAAAGGGATGGGTGGGAACAGTGGGAAGATGGGTGAAGGTAGAGGAAGCAAGGAACAGAATTATGGGGGATAAAAGTACATTAGAGGATAAATCATTAGAGGGATCTACATTATGAGTTTTGGCCAAGGATAACAGGAATATGAGGCACAGTGGAATTAGTTGGGTGTCAAAGATTCAAATGGAACTCTGAAGTTCATTTAACAAATAGTTACCTGACTACCTAGGAACAGTTCTAAATTTTGAAGACACGTGAGGAAACAAAACAGATAAAGTGCCCCCCCCTCCCGTGAGATTACTTTCTTGTGGAGGAAATGAAACAGTAAATAATCTCATATAATGATAACCATGGTCAAGCAAATCAAGCAAGTAATTATTCATGAGAAAAAATACAGTAGGATAAGGGTACAAGCAGCGATAGATGAACATGCTAGTTTAGATATTAGCCAGAAAAAAAAGTCTTTGAGGAGTTAACTTCCCCCTCCCTATGTTCTACTATGGACATTTCCAAACATAGAGAAGTTTAAAGAATTTTAGACTGAACACTGCTATACCCACCTAAGTTCTATCATTAACATCTCACTGAACTTGCATGAACAAAAAGGCTGGAATAATGTAAAGTAGTGAACCATATGGGGAAAGAGTGTTCAAGGATGCAGAAAGATAGTGTAAAGGCCCTAAAGACTGAATGAGTTTGGTGTATTCAAGGAACAGCCAAAAAGCAAAGGTGATTGGATCAAAGTAAATAAGGGAGGCGTGCGTGAGGAGATGAAGCCACAGAGGTAGGTAAATGATGTAGGTACAATTTGCTCTGTAAGGACTCCAGATTTTATCTTGGGTGTGACGGAAAGCATAAGAGGGTGCTGAATAGGAGAAATGGATGGTCTCACTCATATGACAGAATAGGGTGCAGATGGGCAAGACTGGAAACAGAACAGTCTAAAAGCTATTGCAATAGTTTCAGGCCAGCGGTATCTGTGGAAGTTGTCTGTCTCTGAATTCTGAGTAGGCTCAGAATATACTTTAAAGGTGGAGCTGACAGAATTTCCTTTTGGGCTGAATATGGTACGAGAAGAAAAGAGGGAGGCAAAGCTGACCTCTGGGAATCTTTGGCTAGAGCAGGCTGGATTAGCTGGTGTGAGAGGCTTGGTGACAATAGCAGAGCGGGGTTCTAAAAAGGTTCTAAAACTTCCTCCAAAGCAATTCCAATCCTCACATCAGAAAGAGCAAAAACCCAAGGCAAATGGGAATACGTGGGAGGGTGCAGAGGGGGGCAAGATTCAGCCTGGATGGAAAAAGTCAGGAGTCTACAAAATCTCTTGTTGGAAGAGAATTCCTTGGGATGATAGAAAAAGACTGGCTTCTCTGGGAAGAGAGAGTTTGGACTGGATTGATCTCACTTCCAAGGATAGCTAAATCCATTAACAACAAATGTATGCAAAGATGTATCTGTGTCCCTTATGTGAACACATAGTTTTTTAGTTTCCTTTATCTAATTTTGTGCCGAGGCTTGATTACCTTACATCTAAAATTTGTGTCATCTCCTTGCTGATATGCTTCCAACATCTCTTCATTTAGAAATTCTTTACACTGCTGCCCACTTACTTGTCTAAACCAGTGCTTGTCAAATAACCATGATGAAGGACCAGTTTCTAAAGTCTTACCCTGTCGTGGCCTGATATATTTGTGGAAGACAACATAGTTACCCAAAAAAGTGGAATTAGGGACACCTGGGTGGCTCAGTGGTTGAGCATCTGCCTTTGGCTCAGGGCGTGATCCTGGAGTCCCTGGATTGAGTCCCACATCAGGCTCCCTGCATGGAGCCTGCTTCTCCCTCTGCCTGTGTCTCTCTCTGCCTCTCTCTCTCTGTGTCTCTCATGAATAAAAAAATTTTAAAAAAGAGTGGAATTTAAAAAAGCATTACAAAGTACAAGCCCAGTTGTTTAATTATTAGATCTACTGACATAAAATTACTGTCAGATTGCTGTAAACATTTCTAAGAACAAGGGACCTGAGTGGCTTAGTTGGTTAAGTGTCTGACTCTTGATTTCAGCTCAGGTCATGATCTCAGGGTTATAGGATCCAGTCCCATGTTGGGCTCCTTGCTCAGCGGGGAGTCTGATGGAGATTTTCTCCCTCTCCCTCTGCCCTTCCTCTTCCCATTATTTCTCTCAAATAAGTAAATAAATCTTTAAAAAAAATAAAGTTCCTAAGAGCTTACTCTTAATTTCTGTACTATTTTGCCCCAGATTGGTAACCACACCTTCTGATTAGCAGTGGCATAAACCACTCTCATCTCAAAAGTCCCATTATCTCTTAAGCCAAATATAAACTTCTCACCATTGTCCTCTAAACCCTCCCAGTTTTTTTAGACTTACCTGTCTCTAGCCTATCTACCTTCCCTTCCCTCCCACATAAGCTACTGGGGTTTGTTTTTTTTTTTTTTTTTGTATATTTTTTATTGGAGTTCAATTTGCCAACATATAGCATAACACCCAGTGCGCATCCTGTCAAGTGCCCCCCTCAGTGCCCATCAACCAGTCACCCCAACCCCCTGCCCACCTCCCTTTCCACCACCCCTTGTTCGTTTCCTAGAGTTAGGAGTCTCTCATGTTCTGTCACACTCACTGATATTTCCCACTCATTTTCTCTCCTTTCCCCTTTATTCCCTTTCACTATTTTTTATATTCCCCAAATGAATGAGAACATATGTTTGTCCTTCTCCGATTGACTCACTTCACTCAGCATAATACCCTCCAGTTCCAACCACGTTGAAGCAAATGGTGGGTATTCGTCGTTTCTAATGGCTGAGTAATATTCCATTGTATCCATAGATCACATCTTCTTTATCCATTCGTCTTCCGATGGACACCGAGGCTCCTTCCACAGTTTGGCTGTTGGTGACATTGCTGCTATAAACATTGGGGTGCAGGTGTCTTGGCATTTCACTGCATCTGTATTTTTGGGGTAAATCCCCAGCAGTGCAGTTGCTGGGTCATAGGGCAGTTCTATTTTAACTCTTTGAGGAACCTCCACAGTTTTCCAGAGTGGCTATACCAGTTCACATTCCCACCAACAGTGCAAGAGGGTTCCCCTTTCTCCACATCCTCTCCAACATTTGTTGTTTCCTGTCTTGTTAATTTTCACCATTCTCACTGGTGTGAGGTGGTATCGCATTGTGGTTTTGATTTGTGTTTCCCTGATGGCAAGGGATGCGGAGCATTTTCTCATGTGCTTGTTGGCCATGTCTATGTCTTCTTTGGTGAAATTTCTGTTCATGCCTTTTGCCCATTTCATGATTGGATTGTTTGTTTCTTTGCTGTTGAGTTTAATAGGTTCTTTATAGATCTTGGATACTAGCCCTTTATCTGATAGGTCATTTGCAAATATCTTCTCCCATTCTGTAGGTTGTCTTTTAGTTTTGTTGACTGTTTCTTTTGCTGTGCAGAAGCTTTTTATCTTGATTAATTCCCAATAGTTCATTTTTGCATTTGTGTCCCTTGCCTTCACAGATGTATCTTGCAAGAAGTTGCTGTGGCCAAGTTCAAAAAGGGTGTGTTGCCTGTGTTCTCCTCTAGGATGTTGATGGATTCTTGTCTCACATTTAGATCTTACATCCATTTTGAGTTTATCTTTGTGTATGGTGTAAGAAAATGGTCTAGTTTCATTCTTCTGCACGTGGCTGTCCAATTTCCCAGCACCATTTATTGAAGAGACTGTCCTTTTTTCAGTGGATAGTCTTTCCTGCTTTGTTGAATATTAGTTGACCATAGAGTTGAGGGCTCATTTCTGGGTTCTCTATTCTGTTCCATTGATCTATGTGTAAGCTACTGCTTTTTAACTCATTCCTTTTTGCCTTTGTTTACCCAGTGCATCCTGAATAGGTCTCACAGTTATTGTCCTTAGAAAGTTTTCCAAGGACAAATTTACCGAATCTTTATGCCTTCCGCATTTGTATTTTCTTAAATTGTTACAAATTAATATTATTTACATTGTTTTCTTTGTTGGAGCATAAGTTGCTTCAGAGTAAAGTCAGATTTTTATCACAAATTTAAAAATGTCTTGAATATAGCCAAATAGATATAACACAATAAAAACTATGTAAGCAATTACTTGTCTAAGAGCATGTGTGCATGTGAAGATAAAGTCCTGATGTCTATGTAAATGCTGTCTTTTACTATGGAAATTTGCAGTCATCCCTTTTCTCCCATACCCTGCTTTCTTTTCCTACTAGGCTTATCTTCATTAACTCTGGACCCTAAAACAGCTCACCCAAATCTGATGCTCTCCAAAAATCGAACCAGTGTGTGGCATGGTGACATTAAGCAGGTAATGCCTGATGATCCAGAGAGATTTGACTCAAGTGTGGCTGTGCTCGGCTCAAAGGGCTTCACATCTGGAAAATGGTACTGGGAAGTAGAAGTAGCAAAGAAGACAAAATGGACAGTTGGAGTCGTCAGAGAATCTATCATTCGAAAGGGCAGCTGTCCTCTAACTCCTGAGCAAGGATTCTGGCTTTTAAGACTAAGGAACCAAACTGACCTAAAGGCTCTGGATTTGCCTTCTTACAGTCTGAAATTGACTAACAATCTCAACAAGGTGGGCATATACCTGGATTATGAAGGAGGGCAGGTGTCCTTCTATAATGCTAAAACCATGACCCACATTTACACCTTTAGTAGCACTTTCATGGAGAAACTTTATCCCTATTTCTGCCCTTGCCTTAATGATGGTGGAGAGAATAAAGAACCCTTGCATATCTTACATCCACAGTAATTAGTCATACTGTTGTATAAATTCAGAGCATTATTAAAGAGGTATTGAAATAGTTTACCAATCTCACTGGTTTCTCTTCCCAGTTTATGGGGAACTCTGGAATAATGAATTCCAGGATTCACAAATTAAATTCCACTTTCAATGTCATAAGTGGATTTCACTGGAACTTTTTAAGATGTCCTTCCAATTCTCTGGGTCTTCTATGACACAGGATCCACTCTTCACAAGAATGATCATTATGCTATTGTTACCGGAGCAAACTGCAACTTCAGTTTGTAATGCTTGAAAACCCTTTTTAAATGTAGCCAGAAATTTCATTATGCTGTCACTATTCTCAGCACAAGACTCGTAACAGATAAATTTTCAGATGTGTACTCTTCTTCCTATTTACCTTTCAAAAATTTTGCGCCACATTTCTTTTCTAGAATGTGTTGCTGTAATTTAAAAAAATTGTTCAGAGATTTACAGAAAAAAAAAAAAGGAAATCATCTGGGCTAGTTTATAATTTTGTCTTAAATTCTCTCAAGATACTTTTTAGTCCAGCAAATCTAACTCTCTCAGTCTCTTTCTCTTGCTTTATTTGTCTACGGAGGTACTTGTTTTTCTGTATTCAAATATACTTAAGTATTTCAGTCTACTTTTCACTATGTCCTTTTCTTTCTTCCTGCCTATAATTTAACTCTCAGTATTTTTCATCTTGTCCTCTCTGGTATAATTATCCTCCAGCATGTTCCTTCTAAGTCTAAAGTTCTTAGTATCATTTATCTCAGCAGTACCCTTGATGAACCATCCCTTCTTTTCCTTCGAAGTCCCATCTAACTGAGCTTTATTCTTTATATCTAATAGGGTTTTTGGAGGGAGAGGGTAATTATTTAGGACCTGCAGCACTAGCCGTTTAAAATTATAATCAGCATGGCTCATTGGTAGGTGAAAAGCCTACTAGCTGATCTATCATAATGGGAAAGATGCACACATATGATGGGGAATATTCCTGTAGTGTTGGCATATAGAATATACAAATATTTATTATAGCTGCTGATTTGGGTAACAGTGATGACAGATTATAGTTACTTTTAAGGAATTACTTAAAAAAAATAAATTTGGGGCGCCTGGCTGGTTCAGCTGGTAGAACATGTAACTCTTGATCTCGAGGTTGTGATTTTGAGCCCCACATTGGGCATGGAGGCTACTTTAAAAAAAATAATAAATAAGTTGTGTATCTTTAAATAAATAAATAAATTCACTTCAATCGGAATGTAATAAGACTTGTTTTATGCCTGAAACCTTGTTAGATATTTTGAAGGATATAGAAGAAGCATAAAAAGAAAAAAGGGCTCATTTGGAGAGATTTTTTTTTTAAATTAAAGATTCATTCATTCATTCATTCATTCGAGACACACACAGAGAGGCAGAGATACAGGCAGAGAGAGAAGCAGCCTCCCTGCAGGGAGCCTGATGCGGAACTCTATCCCAGGAAACCAGGATCACGACCTGAGTCAAAGGCAGATGCTCCCTGGGTGGCTCAGCAGTTTGGCACCTGCCTTTGGCCCAGGATGCCATCCTGGAGTCCCAGGATTGAGTCCAACGTCAAGCTGCCTGCATGGAGCCTCCTTTTCCCTTTCTGCCTGTGTCTCTGCCTCTATGTCTATCATAAACAAATAAATCTTTTTTTTTTTTTTTTTTTTAAAGGTAGATGCTCAACCACTGAGCCACCCAGGTGCCCCTCATCTGGGGAGACTTAACTTCAATTTCTTGGACCTCACCCAAGACCAATTACATAAAAATCTCTAGCCGGTGGGGCCTGGGCATTTGTAGTTCTAAAAGCACTCAGGTGATTTTAATGTGCAGGTAGGGCAGAAATCCACTGAACTCAAGGAACTGTTTTTTTAACGTTTTGCGAGAAAATTCAAACTTACAGAAAAATTATGTATTTGTATGATAAGCTCTTCTGTACTCTCCACACAGATTTATCAATTATTAACATTTTGCTACATTTTCTTATTCTCTCTCCCCCACATCCACCCCATATGATTTTGTGTGTAATGCATAGCTATGGCTAATGTTATTTTTGCTGAACCACTTCAGATTAAGTTACAGGCATTATGATTCTTATTCCTAAGTACTTCAGTGAGTATCTCCTAAGAACCAAGATGCTCCTTCTTTTTTTTAAGTAAGCTTTATGTCCAACATAGGGCTTGAACTAACCACCCCAAGATCAATAGTCACATGCTCTGTTGACTGAGCCAGGCAGGCACCCCCAAGATACTCTCTTACATAATCACAGTACTAAATTATCAAATTCAGAAAAATTAACATCAACCTGGTAATAGTTACTAACATATAGTCCATATGAAAAAAAGTAAATATTTCTAATGATAGGGTTTTAGGCACTGTGCTAGATAATTTCATGTAGTATGACAGAGTTTGGGGAATAGAATAGGGCCTAGCTCCTACCTATTAAATCATATACAGAGTTCTAGATAACTGATACCTAAAGTTTGTCCTCAGGGATAGACAAGTTTACTACAGAGTTCAGAGAAAGAGGAGGTCAATATTCACCAGAATAGAAAGAGAAAATTCTAAAGAAAAATTGGTTTAAGTTGGAGATAGTGAAAGATGAGTAGAAATAAACATTCTAGTCTGAATTTGGAAAATTCAGTGGCACTAAACCACTGAGACACCTGGGCTGCCTGGATTCCTGCCTTTAATTATTATCTGAGTTCTACATAGAAGGATTGTTCAAATTATTCGGTATAGAGTAACCAGTTATCTGGGAGAACTATGTAAAAATAAATTTGTGTCATCTATGTTAAGACAAGTGCTGGAAAGTTGAGGTAGCATGTTAGAGAAAGTATTAAGTTGGATACCTACAGATAGTGGGAAATACATATACACCTGTGGTCTGTCCTTTTCCCCCTAGTGATTGAAAAAAAAATTTAGTTTTTTTTCTTTGCCTTTTTTAAAGAACAACTTTATTGTGGTATAATTTGTACCCAATAAAATCTGCCCATTATAAGTATACCCTTCACTAACTTCTAGTATATTTATGTAAGTATGCAACCATCACCACACACACAAACCACCCCCCCCCCAACACTCATTTTTAAGAAGTATATTTTCCAGGGATGCCTGGGTGGCTCAGCGGCTAAGCACATCTGCCTTCAGCCCAGGGCCTGATCCTGGAGACCCGGGATCGAGTCCCACGTCGGGCTCCCTGCTTCTCCCTCTGCCTGTGTCTCTGTCTCTCCCTCTGTGTCTCTCATGAATAAATAAATAAAATCTTTTTTTTTTTTTTAAAGGCAGTAACCCTTCACTGAGGTGAGAACCTTAAAAAGAGAAGGCCTTGCACTTTTCTGTGCCTAAACTGGCTTTTAGACTAGCAGTGGCAACATCATTGCACAGTTGTATAACATAGCTGAGATACAGGAGAAAAAAAAGTAACTCTGGATTACCAAGTATTTCCAAGGAAAAAGATGCTTTGGATAAATTAATTTTTCAGATGAGTAAAGGTGATTTATTCAAGGTCAAATATTTGTTTAACTACTTTAAATAAAATCCTCTTCAATTGACCTAGTTGATTATTTTTAAGAATTAAACTGTAATATACACACACAAAAATGTATGTAATATATATATACACAGTTTAGAGTGATATAAAAAACACTCATTAATTGACCATCTAGTTTTGCAAATAGATTAGTATTAAAACCTTTAAAGGTCCCCTGTGCATCTTTCTAGGCCCTGAGGTAATCATTCTACATTTTGTATCTAGTTCTTTCCTTTCTGAAAACAATTCAAAGGTATATTTTTCCAACTGTACTGTTTAGTTTTTTCTCTACTACACACACACACACACACACACACACACACACACACACATATATATCCCTAAAAAGAAAGTTTCATTATGCCTGTTTTAATTTTTAAAAAATATTAATTTATATAAATAATCTCTACACCCAATGTGAGGTTTAAACTCACGACCTCAAGTTTAAGTCACACACTCTCCAACTGAACCAGCCAACCCCCACCCCCACTTGGTTTTTGAAGTTTAAATGAATGGAATCTTGTTCTATGTCTTCCTAGCTTTTTTGAAATTAAAAATTATATTGTATTCCATTCTCTGAAAATACAACAGTTTAAATACCCAAACTACTGTTGATAATAAGAGGTTGATTCTAGTTTTGTTTTTGGTTGTTGCTTTAGCAACAATGTTGCCATAAACATTACTGTACAAGATGTACTGGTAAACTGGAGCAAGAGTCTCTCTAGGTATATATCTAACAAATGCTGGCACATAGGGTACATCTTCAACTAAGTTATGCTGAATTGTTGGTCAAAGTGTCTATGCCAATTTACATCCCCACTAATTGGTGTTCCCATTAATCTATGTCTCTAGCAACTCCATTATGTCCAGTAAAGTGAGTACATAATGGTATTTCATGGTTTTAGTTTGCATTTTCCTAATTACCCCTGTGGTTGAGCATCTTTTTATAAGTTTATCAGCCATTTAAATTTCTTCATCCATGAAATGTCTATTTAGGTGCTTGCCCATATTTTCTATTGTGTTTTTTTTTCTCTTATTGATTCATAAGGTTACTTTTGTGTGTGGGACGCCTGGGTGGCTCAGCAGTTTAGTGCTACCTTCAGCCTAGGGTGTGATCCTGGAGTCCCCAGACCAAAATCTACGTCGGGCTCCCTGCATGGAGCTTGCTTCTCCCTCAGCCTGTGTCTCTGCTCCTCTCTCTGTGTCTCTCAAAAATAAATAAATAAAATCTTAAAAAAAAAAAAAAGGTTACTTAGGTGTTCTAGATACCAATTCTTTGTTGGTTATTCATCCTGCAAATATCTTCTCCTATTGGTTAATACTTGCCTCTGTTAAAAATTATTCTCCACTCAGAGGCCTGAGAGGTATTCCCCCCCATCTTATTCATATGTTTTAAAATTTTGCCTTTCAAATTTAAGTGCTTAATATCCAGTCAACTTGAAAGTAACAAGCATACATTAGCATGCACCTAACAACTTAATTTCAATAAAGCAAAAATTAACAAGAAATCAATAAATATCCACAAAGGGATTTTACTATGGTTCTTTCAGTAATTGAAAAATCTGACAGCATGATTAGCAAACTTGTCCCAATGAATGGGTCAGTATATGCAGAATACTGTACCCAACACTCGGAATATCCAACACTCACAGAATATTCTTTGGAAACACATACATAACACTGACCATATACCTCAATCATAAGGGAAATTTCAACAAATTTTAAAGGATTATAATCATACAGGCCATATCCTTTGACTCCAATGCATTTAAGCCAGCAATCATTAATGGCAGAGTAACTAAATATTCATGTGTTTGGAAATTTTAAAGTAAACACAGTTTTAAGGAAATTTATAGCCTTATATGCACATATTAGAAAACAATGAAAATCACTCCTCTTTCAAGAAATTAATGAAAGCAAGTTAAAGCTAAGGAAATTATACGAACAGAAATTAGTAATACAGAAAAGAAATACAAAAAAGAGTATCAACAAAGTCAGATGTTTGTTCTTTGAAAAGACTAATAAAATTGACAAACCCCTGGTGAGACTAAGAAATAAAACAGCACAAATTGCTAATAACAAAAATGAAAATGGTATTGCTATAAAGCCTGCAGACATTAAAAAAGATAATAAAATGTTTTACGAAATTTATATCAATATTTTAGAAATTTTAGATTAGAGGGCTCCAACACCAGAAAAATATAGCTTATCAAAACTGATGTAAGGGGGTGGGTGGTGGTGGGTTATGGTGAGGGTGGGGGTGGAAATTGTAAAAGAAAAGCATAATTCTGAAAAAGCAAGAAATGTCAACACTAGTGAAATTTGAGTATATTAAAGAATTATTATTTTCAATGGTGATAATGGTATTGTGGATTTATTTTTCTACAAGTCCTCAACTTTTAGATATTCTAATGGAGACATTTATAAATTAAACGATAAAATGAGTCTTGCTTCAAAATAATACTTGATGCCACAGAACCTGCGACCACGCCTGTAACAGCAGCACAATAACTTTGATACTGAGGGTTTAACACTCACAAGCTTGACTGACCCTTCTCCGCCATGTCAGGGGAAAGCTGAGAGGCTCCTCGGCCACAGTCCCACGAGCCGGTCAGCTCTCTGGTGGTGACGGGATTCCTGTTCCTCTCCCCTCAGTCTCTTCCCGCCCATTACTCTGAGAACCAATCACCGAGCTTGGCTTCGCACCTCAGACCAATCAGCGATCCCCGCTAGGCTCCCCCCTCCCCCACACCCTCGTGTGCCGGCCGACGCCATGTTTCAAGGGCAGCGGGGCTGGTTCTGCGGCAGCGTCGGCGAGGAACTGAGGCAGTTCTGGGGTAGGCAGGTGGGTGGAAGGGGCGGGTGAGCACCCCTCTTCTCTATGGTGCTTTGGTGCCAGGATACTTGCTAGGCTCACCTTGTGCTCTTGCCTCCGCAGTGGACGAAGGGGGCTCCATCAGTGACCCAAGGGCTGCCGACTTCTTGTTCAGCTGTGATGCCTCCCACCCAGACACGCTGAGGTACCTGAAGGCCACCGGGCAGTGCCTCTTCGGTCCTGATGAGCCAGGAGTTGGAGATGGAAGTCGCGGTGCCCTGAGAAATATTGATGATAGGAATAGACTGGAAAGGAGCAAGTTTTCAGCCCTAGATGGGGGGTGGGGGGGTGGGCGGGGGCAGGGAGGGGGTATGTAAGTAACTTCTCGCCACAACCGTATGGCCTCCCACCTGGTCTGCGAGGCTTCCCGAGTTCCAGCCTTGTGATTCTAGCTGTCTGCCCCACAACTCTGTATGGTGCCCTGAAGGCCCATCACATTCAGTATGTTTCAGCCAAACCTCCTGGTTGCTCCTTCACACCTGCACCAGGTCCTGTGTTCTCAAACTTACAACCGTACTAGTTTCTCGTGAATAAACAACTCCACCCCCGTTAATCAGTCGGTGGCCAAACACCAGGGTACGTGTTCGGTGTACGCCTGTAAATGTTCCTCCTACTCGCTATCTTCCTACACACCCTCATTATCGCTCGCCCGGCTCTAACAGTAGCTTTCTGAGAGGTTACTCTGCCTCCAATCTGCCCACCTGCGATCCCCCTTCACACTGCTGTCCCATTTATGATTACAAGCCAGAGGTGTAATCACCACCCTGGCTGCCCCCTCCCCACTCCCTTAATTCCCCAGTGGCTTGAGTACCTATAGATAATTGTCCCTGCTTCCTCTCACTTTTTCTTTCTTTTGAAAGGTTGAATACATTCTTGTTTATTTTATAACCTAAAATATTTCCTTTCTTTCTCCTAGAATATATCAGAGCCTTGATTACATAGAAGACAATGCTACAGTTTTTCACGCCCACTATCTCTCTGCAGTCGCTAATGCTGAAATAAAAAACTCGGTGACTTTAGGTCATTTCATTCTTCCCCCTGAGTGCTTGCAAAAAGGTTAGCAAAGATCATTTATCCAATCTCTGTTAGTGGAATCCAGCTAGTTCTCCCAACTTTACTGATCTTTGTTCTCAATAAGAGATTTTTGTGTTTCATATCATTTAATATAAGTGGAAAAGCATGAGCTTGGGATCAGATTACCTTGAGTATATAGTCTGGCTTTGTTTGTTTATTGCTCATTCACACATTCACTAAACTACTGTGTCAGGTTTCAACCAAGGTGGTGGTGAGTCAGTGGTGAATAAGACAAAAAGCAGATCTTGCCCTCACAGTGCTCGCTGTCTAGGATCCAATACTTACCAGTTTTGTAAACTTTAGCAAGTTGTTTTGAGGATAAAATATAATATATCAAGTAGTCTGACATGTGAGCATTTAATAAATGTTTGCTAGTTTTGAATCTCTTCATTATTATAATGAAAATTTAAGATTCATTGTAATAATGAGCCCATATACTTATTTGTATTGTTCTTTATACATTGGGGCATGTGTGTGGCTCAATAAGTTAAGTAGCCGACTCTTGATTTTGGCACAGGTCATGATCTCAGGGTTGTGAGATCAAGCTGAGTCAAGTTCTGGCCTGAACCTGGAGTCAGTTTAAGATTTCCTCTCCCAGGGGCAGCCTGGGTGGCTCAGTAATTTAGTGCTTGCCTTTGGCCCAGGGTGTGATCCTGGAGACCTGGGATCGAGTCCTGCATCAGGCCCCCTGCATGGAGCCTGCTTCTCCCTCTGCCTGTGTCTCATGAATGAATAAATAAAATTTAAAAAAAAAAAGGAAAGATTTCCTCTCCCTCTCCCACCCTTCCCTCTCTCTCTCTCTCTCAAAAAAAAAGTACTTTCCCATAACTTGTTTAATTATTTCAGCAACCCTATAAGATAAAGGGCAAGTGAATAAACTGCTTCTGAGATTGGTTCTTTTAGTTTTCCCTCCTTAGAATACGATTTCCCTGACTTTTGTGGCCTATTTTTAAATATCTCATTTTAGGTCTTACATTATACCAATTAATGATATATGTGTGTCTATCCTTAGAAAGACAGACTGAAGCTAGAACAAATTCCCAGTGAGTAGGCTATTTAAAACAAAAAAAACAAAAAGAGTTTGAAAAAGATTTCTATAGGAGAGCTTTAGAAACTCCAAAGATTGGATTCCTTCCACAATTGATGTCCTGGTAAGAGCTAGTTATAACAATAAATTGTTCTAAATGATTATACAAATAAATTAAGGATTGGGGATTGGATAGGAAAACTGCTTTATTAAAAAAAACCTGTGCCAATCAGTGAATACCCACTTTTAAAGAGCTTATATTATAGAATTAATATCTTCTCTAATATTAAGTTATTATTTCTGTCTTTGAATTTAGCATCTTATATTAAAATGTAGTTAAATTTTAAAAAAAATCTGTTTTGAGGCTCCTGGGTGACTCTGTTGGTTAAGCATCCAACTCTTGATTTTTTATTCATTGTCATACTCAGGTCATGATCTCAGAGTCATGAGATCAAGCCCCACATGGGGCTCGATTCTCAGCACAGAGTCGGCCTGAGATCTTTTCCTTCTGCCCCCCAAGCTCCCACTTGTATGCATTCTCTCTCTCTCTCATATAAATAATGGGGAGCCTGGGTGGTACAATTGGTTAAGAATCCAACTCTTGGTTTTGGTTCAGGTCATGATCTCAGGGTGGTGAGATAGAGCCCAGCATGGGGGGCTCCATGCTCAGTGCAGAGTCTGTTTAAGACCCTCCCTTTCTCTCCCCCTCTGTCCCTCCCCCAATCCCTGCATGTGTTCCCTCTCTCTAAAATAAATAAATAAAAAATTTTAAAAATCTGTTTTAAATGAAATGATGCTCCTTTTTAAGAATAAAAAGTATACATTATTATCTACCTAGACCAGTATTGTCTAGTAGAAGGGTGAAATGCAAATGTGAACCAATGCTAATTTAAAATTTTCTAGTATAAATAAGAAATCAATGAATAAAAATAAGATTTTTATTTATAAACAAAAAATAGATTAATTTATTTACTTTTAGAGAGAGTGCAAGTGAGAGGAGGGGCAGAGGCAGAGGGAGAGGGAGAGAATCTCAAGCAGACTTTCCACTCAGTCTCATGACCCTGAGATCATGACCTGAGCCGAAATCAAAAATCAAATGCTTAACTGATTGAGCCACCCAGGTGCCCCTAGGTAAATTAATTTTAAGAATATATTTTATTTAACCAGATATAACTAAAATATTATCCTTTGAATATATAACTAACATAAAAATTATCAAGATATTTACATTCCTTTTTTGATGCTAAATCTTTGAAATACAGTGTTTATTTTATACTCAAAACATCTCACTTTGGACTAGCCACATTTCAATATGACGCCAATATGTAGCTGCTCCAGTGGCTACTATAGTGGACTGCATAGGTCTAGAGGAATGTTACCTTTTTGTCTTCAATTGGGCTACTGTGGAAGCTTTTGAGATCATTAAAGAATGACATAGTCCTTTAACATGCTGAGCATTGTTAGAATTCCTATACTATTATGCCCACTAGACATGTTTCTCTTCCACTCTTCTTTTACCAACCATTAAATTCTTTAGGACCTCTAGTGTACAAATTTAGGAAGTTTACACCTTTTGTTTTGACTGGACAATTGTCTTCTTTATATTAACGGTTGGCCTAAAGACACAGACATCTAATGAAGGCATATACTCCAGCAGAAAAAATTTACAACAATGATTCTCATGATGCTATGGAATCATCTGGGGAGGCTGTTAAAAATGCAATTCCTGAGCTCCTCCTCAATCATCTGATTCAATAAGAATCTGCATTTTAAATAAGTATCTTAGGTGAGTTTGATGCAAGTGGAATAACTGCGACCTAGAAATTTCAGTCTTCAAGTAAACTTCAGAAAACTCTACAAAATTACTTAAAAAATAGTATTGAATTTCTTTTTCTTGCCACAGAAATAAGAAGAAAACTTGGCAATTTCATTTGGGAACAAGACCAACATTTTCAGATAGAAAAGGTAAGAGTAAATTAAAGTACTTGGTTAGAATATACAGTTGCAAAAAAATTTTAAAGCAATGTAATCTTAAAAATGTTTACTTGTGACATGCTAACATCAGTGATCCAGGTTATGGAATTTAAAGGACATGCTTTTAGAGAACATTATCTAGTCTAATACTATTTTCACACTAGTACACTGATAATGCTGAGATATTTTTATATGAATAAAATTATTCATGTAAAAAACTTGAAAATCTATCATTAATTGGAGAAGTAATAGGTGCACAGAATTTACCAGTTTTTTATTGCCAGCATAGATTCTGATTTACTAATTCCTATGTTGTGTTATTTGTTAAATGTTTTGAATAACATCCCTCAATAAATGTGTACAATATTGAAAACTGTTTTATAGCTTTTACTATTCTGCCTCAAACTTGTTAGTACTTTTGACTTACTTCAAAATCTTTACACAGTAGCCAATTTGGGATAATTTGAGTGTCAAAAAGAATGACAGTAATGAATTATAGTACATTAAATTTAAAAGAATCCATGATTCAGTAGTGCTACTCTGAAAGCGTAAAGAAAGAAAAAAAAGAACAGAAGGAGGGAGAGGAGGTAAGAAGAGGAAAGAAAGGAAGGCAGGAAGGAGGGTTGGAAGGAAGGAAAGGAAAGATGAAATTTAAGAAAAAAAATTAAATTTAAATTTAAGGGAAAATTTCCTTATAAAATAGCAACTAATAAATATAGAAAAGATGGTAGAATGCAAAGCCCTAATTTACCACCCCTAATAAAGTAATTGATTTAGGCAGGATCATTAGTGGATGTTAAACCCATGATCTTAAATTATCACCCCTTAGATTACTTATTAGTTACAAAGATAAAGGATGTGCCTTCCCAGTAGAGATATCTGGCAGACACCACATAACCAACTGGTCAAATTTAGCATCACCGAAATTGGAATAACCTCTCATTATGTTCAGCTTGATGTGATATATTAAAGGTACACAATGTTATTTATATAGCGTTCTTGTTCAAAATGCTTAATCTAATTAACCTTAATTTAATTATGAGTAAACAGACAATTCCAGAATGTGAGACATATCACAAAACAGCTATCTAGCTTAGTCTCTTTAAAACAATGTCATAAAAAACAAAACAAAAAGGCAGAAATACTGTTTTAGATCAAGAGACATGACAAGCAAATGTGATGTATAAACCTTGATTGGATTCTGGATGTTTTCTTTTCTTTTCTTTTTTTTTTTTATTCTGGATGTTTTCTAAATAAAAAGTAAAAAAGACATTTTGAGAACAATTGGGAAAATATAAATGTGGACTATTAGGTGATATTGAATTAATGGTAATTTTCTTAATTGTAATGGCGGTATTGTAAAGATGAAAGAATGCTTTTTAAGGAAAATGCAGGGGTGCCTAGGTGACTCAGTCCATTAAACATCTGCCTTCAGCTCAGCTCAAGATCCCAGGGTCCTGGAATTGAGCCCTACATCAGCCTCCCTGCTCAGCAGAGAGCCTGCTTCTCCCTCTCCCTCTGCTGCTCCCCCTGCTTGTGCTCTCTCTGTCAAAAAAAAAAAAAAAAATCTTTTTTAAAAATTAAAAAGATAAAGAAAATGCAACCTAAAGATTAAGGAGTAAGATGTCATGATATCTGCAAATCTTTTCAAATGGTCCAGCAAAAATAAAAAATGAGAGAAGGCATGCAGAGTGATTAAAAAATGTTAACATGTTATGAGTCTAGGTGAAAAGTGTACAGTACTTACTGTATTATTCTCTGACAATTCAGAGTTTGAAAATTTTCGAAGTAAACACTTAGGAAGAAAATCTTTATATGCCTAAAGCCAAGCAATTATACAGTTTGTATTCATTTCATTAGTTTGTTTTTTCTTCCCAAGTTTTCATCATCTGAAAATCATAGTTATTTAAGTATCTTTGGCTATGTTATAGTAAGGGCCAAAATATCTAATCCTTGGCTTGTCATAGTGTTTTCACTATGTTGTAGAACAGTTGTTATTTGACAATAATTATTGAGTATGCTAGAACTTCAAAGCTAAAAAAGCTCCTTAAAGCTCATTAATTTAATTATTCAGGGATCCCTGGGTGGCGCAGCGGTTTGGCGCCTGCCTTTGGCCCAGGGCGCGATCCTGGAGACCCGGGATCGAATCCCACATCGGGCTCCCGGTGTATGGAGCCTGCTTCTCCCTCTGCCTGTGTCTCTGCCTCTCTCTCTCTCACTGTGTGCCTATCATAAATAAAAAAAAAATTAATTATTCAGTTTTAGAAATGAGAACTGAGGTAAAGAAAAGGTAAAAACCTGTTTTAGTTTATATACTAGACATCAGCAAAATGGAACCAAATTTTCTCAGCTCCAACCAGATCCAGTATTTTTTCTATGAAAAAATTAGTAGAACATGTCTGTAGTGGTGACTAACTCTAGAAATTATATGATTTTGTGATAAATGATTTTGTTAGTTCTTTCAAAATATTGATTAATATTAGCCAATTATAATAATGTAACCATAGAATATATAACTAGAAAGTACTTCTTTGAATGGCAACAGCAAGGATAAATCTGGAAAGTAATTTGGGGGAACATTAATATTGTTTGGAGTGGATTTGTGATTTAAACAGAAATTTCCTAATGGTGTATTAAGTAATTATAATTATGTGACAGGTGCCAATATCTGAATCACTTTCACATAATCTTTTTGAAAAGCTTAATACACATTTAGTTCTTTCATAACTCTATAGCTATATATTCCATTTTAATTTTGAAGTGGAAATATAATTTGTTCAGCTTACTTAATATTTTTGATTTGTAACTCAACAGAAGCCTAGGAATTCTCAAGTCGAAGATTTTAAGAAAGTTTAAATTAATAACTTTTTTGTTTCCTTTTATTTATTTTATTTATTTATTTTTTGTTTCCTTTTAAAAACTAAAAAGTACTATGACCACATTAGGGAAAATTTGAAAAATTGAAAAGAGAATAAAATTAGTCAAAACTGGGGTCCCTGGGTGGCGCAGCGGTTTGGCGCTTGCCTTTGGCCCAGGGCGCGATCCTGGAGACCCGGGATTGAGTCCCACGTCAGGCTCCCGGTGCATGGAACCTGCTTCTCCCTCTGCCTGTGTCTCTGCCTCTCTCTCTCTCACTGTGTGACTATCATAAATAAATAAAAATTAAAAAAAAATTAGTCAAAACTTTACAATCTAATACAACCACAGTTGATATTTTAAAAATACATAGTCTTCATTACATAGCCCTAAAAACAAATAGTATAATTGTGTGTGTGTGTGCAAAATTTTCCAAGTTTTTGCCACCAAACTAGATTGAATAGACCTAAGTGTCTAAATATTTTTATGACTCTTGATATATATTGCCAATTTACTTTTTTTGCTTTTTTTTATATAATTTTATTTATTTTATTTTATTTTTTTTAACAAAGCTGTTTTTTTTTTGTTTTTTTGTTTTTTTGTTTTTTTTTTATGATAGTCACACCAGAGAGAGAGGGAGAGAGGCAGAGACACAGGCAGAGGGAGAAGCAGGCTCCATGCACCGGGAGCCCGACGTGGGATTCGATCCCGGGTCTCCAGGATCACGCCCTGGGCCAAAGGCAGGCGCCAAACCGCTGCGCCACCCAGGGATCCCCTTTTTTTGCTTTTTAAAAAAACATTTGATTAGATCATTGATGTGCTGACTTTTAAAAATGTGATTTTTTTTTTCTTTTTGCTATCCACAGCATTATGAAGTAACACCAAATGAAATAAAAGCCCTTAGGGAAAACAGTGAACTAGAAACAGATCGCAAAAAGGAATTATCCAAAAGGTATTGAATTCATATACTTCATTGATATTCAATTTAATGTAGGCATCTTTGAGCACCGACTGTGTTTATCTCATTTAATTTTCATGGTCTTCTTACACTATTAATATTATCATTATCACCATTGCCACTTTATAGCAAAAAAGATCTAGGATTAGGTACATTAATTTGCCCAAAGTTATACAAACTTTTATTATTTTTTAAAAATATTTTATTTATTTCAGAGAGAAAGAGAGAGAGCATGAGTAGGGGGAGGAACAGAGGGTGATGGAGAGGGAAAAAGCAGACTCTTCACTGAGCAGGGAGTCCAATGGAGGGCTCTATCCCAGAATTCTGGGATCATGACCTGAACTAAAGGCAGGTGCTTAACCAACTCAGCCACCCAGGTGCCCCAAACTTTTATTATTAGGTGTGGAGACGTTGGATTTAACTGGGTCAGTCTAATTCCAGAGCCAACCAGTATGCTAGACTATCCTTGCACAAAAGAAACAAGAATTTGTTTATTATTTATGTTACATTATTTTTTAAATAAGAAAATATATGAAATATTAGCAGTAATTTTATTAGGATTGGAAGTTCTAAGTGATTTCCTCCTCTATTTTCCAAATTGTTTGTAACGTGGTTCCTTTGGTTTAAGAAATGAAATTTAAAAAGACACACTCCTGGACTTACCATTATGTTAGAAACAATCTATGAGAGGCCACCTTTGTTTCAGCCTTATTCATAATCTAGTCCTAATTCCATATTTTCCAGTTCCATAGTTTTCAAATGCTCGTAGGGAATATTGGCTATTCGAAGGTCTGGTATTTTGCTGCTGAAATAAAAATGATCAAATAGTAGCTATCTCTCTTCAATATTAAAATTAATGGATTTATTTTATATAGTTTTTTCAATTTTAAGTTTTTCTTCCATAGTTTGTACCAACTATTTGGTTTGTTATAATTTGAAGTTAGTTGTTACCTAATTTACACAAAGTTGTGTATTTAAGTAAGTTTAGTAAACTATTGTTTCATGGTCCTGTGACTTCTAGATATTCTACTACTTAAGTTTGAGAATTCATTTTTTAAAGATTTTATTTATTTATTCATGAGAGACACACACAGAGAGAGGCAGAGCCATAGGCAGAGGGAGAAGCAGGCTCCATGCAGGAAGCCGGATGTGGGACTCGATCCCAGGACAACGTCCCGAGCCAAAGGCAGACACTCAACTGCTGAACTACCCAGGTGTCCCGAGAATTCATATTTTAAGTCTTGGGATCTCTATCTCTAGTACTCCTTTGAACTTACTTGTTACACTTTTTTGAGATAAGATAAATAGAGGAAGAAAAATAAGAATAGAGGAGGTAAGACCGTGAAGATATTCTGAAGGGATTAATAGAGGAAAGGATAATTATCCTAAGTGATCTTGTAAGAGAAGGCTGGGAAATAGAAAATAAAAAGTAACTCCCAGTAATTCACTTGACTAGGAAAGATATTAGATACATAAGTTCTTTAACTCATGGTTGCCTGTAAAACATGGAAGCCATAAAGGAAAAAGATTGAGAAGTATAACTACCAAAAAATATTTTAATCTTGTATGTGGCAATAAAAATACCATGAACTAGGTCAAAAGAAAAATATACACTTGGAAAAACATCTGACAAAAACTAGTTTAAGATACAAAGGGGACTTACAAATCTGAAGAAAATATGTCCAATAACAATAGCAATGACAATAGACAAAGGATATGAATGGATACCTTAGGTAGGTATTTAATCTAGAGCCTTTTCTTTATGGAACCACCAGAGGGTGCAGTGTGAACATAGATAAAATATACTTTGTCCTTAACTCAGGAAGCATTTTTGTTGGTGTACTACTGGTGATATTGAACAGTAAGTGATGAACTAGTTATTAAACACTTGCTGAATATAAGACACTTGCAAGCTTATCAGTTCATTTGATTCTTGTAACCTTATAAGATAGATAAATATTATTAGACCCATTTCACAATTGAGGAAAAGAGTTCAGAGAGCTAATTGTCACCCAAAATTGCTTAAGCTGAATTTGAAGCTAAGTTTAGCTGATCCAGAATCCAAACTCTTAATCACTATACTATTTTTGCTTCTCAGTATGTTCCCCAAATCTCTAAAAATTGCATGAACTTACTCTACTATAAACCTAATGCATATAATTTTTCAAAATAGAAAATAAAATAAAGAAAATTTTAAATAATAAGCAACCCTGCCACTTAGAGATAACCACCACCAACATTAGGACATTTCTTCCTAGTTTTATACAAATAAGTCTTGCTTTAATTTGCATTTTTCTTTGAATACTAATGGCTTTGAACTTTTTTGAATTTTTTAGCGTTTTATATTTCTTTTCTGTGGTTTTTATCCTTTATTCCCCCCACCCACCCACTTCTTAAAAAAGATTTTATTTATTTGACAGAGAGAGAGCACACAAGTTGGGGGAGTGGCAGGCAGAGGGAGAGGGAGAAGCAGGCCCCCACAGAGCAGGGAGCCTGATGTGGGAGCCAATCCCAGGACCCTGGGGGATCAGGGATCATGACCTGAGCCAAAAGCAGATGTTTAATGGACTGAGCCACCCAGGTGACCTGCTTTCTCCCTATTTTATTGGAAGCCTTATTGTTTTTCTTATCAACTTGTCTGGCATCTTTATATAGAAGCTATATTATCCTTTTGCCAATTTGCCACATTGTATTCACAATTTGTTGTCTGGCATATACTTTTTTAGAGGTATAAGTTTTAAATTTTCCATCATTAATCACTTTTCCTTTATAATTTCTTCTACCGCTTTTATGTTCAGAGAAGTTATTTCCCATTCAGAGATCAAATTAGTTTTAAACTCTGCAGATATTTATTTTGGTGTATGGTAATAGGTGAAGATCTAAATTGATTTTGTTTTGCAAATAAGAGATTTCCACTGGTTTTTTGAATAATCTATTTCAAACTGATGTGTAATTTTCCTTTGTCGTACGTTGTTTTTGTGTATATGAAGATCTATTTTTAGGCTATTTGTTTTATTCCATTAATCTGTGGATCTATTTCTGTATCAATACAATATTCTTTTAAGTTATATAACTTCATTTATGTATTTTAATACCTACAAGGGAAGTCCCAGTCTTATTACTCTCCTTTTAAAAAATATTTTCCTTAGGTCTTCATGCCTACATGTTACTTTCCTATTTTCAAATTTTAATTATGAAAACCCAACATGTACAAAAAAGGATACTATGAAAATACTGGTCCCTAGTAAGTCAATTTCCCTCCCAGAAGCAACCAATATTATCAGTTTCCTTGCCTTTTTTCACTCAATAATTTACCTTGGAGATCATTCCATATTATTACATAAACAGTTTTTCATGTTTTTATCTATATAGTGTTCTACTATATGGATGTACCATAACTTACTTAACTAGTTGCTTATTTTAATGGACTTTTAAGTAATTTCTAATTTGCTATTAAAAACAGTGCTTCAGGGGAACCTGGGGTGGCTCAGTCGGTTAAGTGTCTGCCTTCTGCTGGGGTCATGATCTTGGGGTTCTGGGATAGAGCACCTCTTTGGGCTCCCTCCTCAGCGGGGCAAGGAGTCTGCTTCTCCCTTTGCCCCTTCCCCTGGCTCATTCTCTCTCTCTTGCTTGCTCTCTCTCAAATAAATAAATGGATCTTAAAAAAAAAAAAAAAGCAGTGCTTCAGTGAATGATTATCTTATGTCATTTTGTTTTTTTTTAAAGATTTTATTTATTTATTCATGATAGTCACACACAGAGAAAGAGAGAGAGAGAGGCAGAGACACAGGCAGAGGAGAAGCAGGCTCCATGCACCAGGAGCCTGACGTGGGACTCGATTCCGGGTCTCCAGGCCCAACATGGGATTCGATCCCAGGTCTCCAGGATTGCGCCCTGGGCCAAAGGCAGGCGCCAAACCTCTGCACCACCCAGGGATCCCCTCTTATGTCATTTTGTATGTATGGGAGTATCTGTAGGGTAATTCTTAGGAGATCGAAAGGCATGTAGATTTGTATCCTTAATAGGTCTTATCAAATTGCTCTCCATACAGTTTAAATCAATTTACACTCCTACTGGTTATGTATAAATGTGCCTTTTCTAGCTATGGTAACCAAACATTCAGGTTTGCTTAGAAATGTCCTGGTTGGGATCCCTGGGTGGCACAGCGGTTTGGCGCCTGCCTTTGGCCCAGGGCATGATCCTGGAGACCTGGGATCGAATCCCACGTTGGGCTCCTGGTGCATGGAGCCTGCTTCTCCCTCTGCTTCTCTCTCTCTCTGTGTGTGACTATCATAAATAAATAAAAATTAAAAAAAAAAGAAAGAAAAAAAAAAGAAATGTCCTGGTTTTAATCCTGAAAAGCCCCATGTCCTGAGAAATCCCTCAATCTGCCGTAAACTGGAATGGTTAGTCATCTGGTTTCCCCTATGCCTTCTCTAACACAGAGTACTTATCATATATTTTGGTCCTTGCTAATCTGATAGGTATAAAATGGTATCTCAGTCTAGTTTTGTTTGAATTACTATTATTATGAATGAGGTTGAGTTGTCTTCAGATGTTTGAGAACCACTTATATCTCTTTTTCTGTGAATATTTGTTCATATCCTTTGCATATTTTTCTATTGTGTTTTGCTTTTTTATTTTTTGATAAGAACTCTTTACATTTTAGGAGAGTTACTTCATTTGAAACAAATTACAATTAATTTTTAGCCTGTTGTCTTTTGACTTTAAAAAATGTTGGGTTTTGTCATGCAAATATGTTTTCCTGTATGCATTCATGCTTATTAACATTTTCTTTGATGGTTCTCTGGTTTTATGTTGTACTTAGGGAAGTCTTCCTACTCTTAAGATTATTATCATTTTTTGCTATGGTTTCTTCTTAATGATTTCTTTTTTTTTCAATTTAAATCTGTGACACATTTGGAATATATTTTGGTGTAAGGTGGGAACCTACTTTTTTTCTTTTTTCCTCCAGATAGCTAATTACTTGTGGCTATTGATTAAATAATTTATCCCCTCACCACCATCTTAAAATGCCACCTTTATCATAGGTTAGATCCCTGTAAGTATTTGGGTCTATTTCTGCATTTTATATTTTTATATTCCATTCATTTGTCATGCAACAGCACCATTCTGTTTTAGTTATTTATAATAGGACTTAATATCTGGTGCTAGGTTTTCTTCTTTAGTCTTTTTCAAATTTTCTTAGCTGTTCTTTCTAGTTTATTTTTCTGTCTGAATTTTAGAGCCATCTTGTTCATATGTTTTTTTAAAAATTACTGTTATTTCTGGTAACATTAGAAGAAATTTATAGATTAACTTAGGGAGACTATCTCTGATACTGAATCTTCCCATCTGAGAAATGGTATTTTTCCCCCACTTGTTCAAATTTTCTTTTGTGGCCCTTAAGGAACATTTTTCATATTTTCTTCATATGAATTACATTTGTCTTTTAAGATTATTGCTAGATATTTTTTTTCATTCTATTATAAATTTGATCTGCCTCCTATTAGATCTTCTAACATGTTGTTCAAGTAAATTTTAGAATTATTTTTTTCTTAACCTCTAAAATCCCTATTGGGAATTATGTTAAAATTGAGAAGAATTGATGACTTTATAATTTTCAATATTCCAATCCAGGAGAATATCTCTTATTTTTTGTTTTAATTTTCCTTTTTTATATCTCAGTAAAATTTCTTATTTTTCTACATATAGAATCACAAATTTCTTGTTATAGTTATTTCTAGATTTTTATGAATTTTGTTGCTGTTGCAGATTGGATCATTTTTATTTTATTTTTTATTAGTTATTGCTGTTATATAGGAAATTTATTGATTTGGGGATATTTGTTTTATAACTACCCACTTGGAATCTTTAAGATTCTAGAAACATTTCAGTGATTCTCTTGGCTTTTCAGAGTGTACAATCATATCATTTGTTAATATGAAAGATTGCTTCTTCCTTTTTACTAGTTATCTCTTTTTCATTTCTTTCTTTACCCTCCCCCATCTCATTGCTTAGCCAGAAATTTCAGAGCCATAATAGATAATAATAATGGTTTATCTTTTTTTTAGTCCTTGACTCTTCTGGGAACACTATTTTGCTTATTTGAAGGATCTTACCCTAACTGAGCTACAGTTTCTTTTATAAGAGTTCAGATGAGGGCAGCCTAGGTGGCTCAGTGGTTTAGCGCTGACTTCAGTCCAGGGCCTGATTCTAAAGACCTGGGATCAAGTCCCACATCAGGTTCCCTGCATGGAGCTTGCTTTGCCCTCTGCTTGTGTCTCTGCCTCTCTCTCTCTGTGTGTGTCTCTCATGAATAAATAAATAAAATCTTAAAAAAAGAAAAAGTTCAGATGAAATCTAATTTTTAGATAAATTAAAAATAAAGCTTTTACTATCACTAAATGTAATTTTAGATTTTTTTAAGGAAAATAAATTAAGGATGACCCCAACTTTTAATTATTGAGACTTTTATTTTCATGCAATTGTATTATCTATTGGTTATATGTAGTCTAAATATAATAAACATTGTTATTTGGCACAGTTAGAAAACAGAATACTTTAGTTGAAAACTACTTAGCTCTTAAAAGTTAGAATATAAATAATTATACACAACCACACTCAGAATAATTTAGCCGTTTTTCTTTTTAACTCAGAAGTCACTTCAGAATTTTAGTGTATTGCATGATTTTCTCAGATTTCACTTTTTATTTATTTTGAAGTTTTGAAGTACTAGTTAACAGAGTTCCAATTATTAAACACTGAGTAACAAAAAATGCTGTGATTATTTTAAATAGAGCCCACTGTGCCTTCTTTTGGCATATTTAAGATTACATGTGTATATTTTTAATCTAATTATAAAGTGTTATTATAATTTTTAAGATTTTATTTCTTCATGAGAGACAGAGAGAGAGAGGCAGAGACATAGGCAGAAGGAGAAGCAGGCTCCCCACAAGGAGCCCGATGTGGGACTTGATCCCGGATCGTGGGATCAGGACCTGAGCCAAAGGCAGATGCTCAACCTCTGAGCCATCCAGGCATCCCTAATTATAAAGTATTATTGAATTATTATGCTTTTAAGAATATTGAGGAAGACCTAGGCTTCTACATACACAAAAAATATGTTTTGTGAAGTGGCCAAGAAAACTGAAAATATCTGTATGGGAACTAGTATTACTTAGAAGCATAAAAGAAGTTCACACTGAATGTTTTCATCCAATAAGACTCAAGTCTGCTCAAGTGCAAACAGCTTACTATATATATTGCCTGGAATAATTTCTCAGGAAAAAACAAGTATAAATATGACTTTCTGTATGCTTCATTTTATAGCACAGAAAAACATTTTATAAGGACTCCAGTTACAGAAAAGCAGATGTACTTCCCTCTTCAGAATTATCCAGTAAACAACATGGTAACAGGTAATTTAAAATAAAATTTAGAGAACACCCAAGTAGGGAAGAAACAAAAGAATATCTTGTACAATAATGCAGTTGTCCTAGACTAGCAAGTAGAGACCACTCAGAGATGCTAAAAGAGGAGATATCATTTGCATTAAATAAATCTGCTGAATTGACCCAGAGTTAGGTCCTATATTTTCTGTTAAAAAGCTGGTCTATTGGTAGTGTGAATACACATTCCTGTTTACACAAGACAGTTCCGGTTTATGTCTGTTGTCCTGGCATCAGTAATCTCCATACCCAACATTGGGCTCAAACTCAGTTTTTTACTCTCAGGTGTCCCAATTTGAGAGACAAATTATATGGACAACTCTAATCATAGTTTCCTTTGAGAATCTGATGAATTAGACTCCTTTCCCTAGTATACACACACACACAAACATAACACACCAACTTTACTATAATTAAAGAGATTCACAGGTGTCCATGGACTCCATATTTAGCTTTTCTAGTGCCTGACATAAAGAAAAGACAGCTTACTAAGGCTGACATGAGAGGATGGAACCAAGGGAACCAGGTGAAAAGTGGCCACTGGGATTTAGATAATGGTGAGTGAGGTGGATATTTAGATATTTTGATCTGGGTAATATTCAGTAGGGTCATTTTTAAAATAGAAGTTTTATTTATTTATTTTAAAAATATTTTATTTATTCATGAGAGACACACACACAGAGAGAAAGAGAGAGAGAGAGAGAGAGAGGAGAGAGAGAGAGAGAGAGGCAGAGACACAGACAGAGGGAGAAGCAGGCTCCATGCAGGGAGCCCGATGTGGGACTCGATCCTGGGACTCCAGGATCACACCCTGGGCCAAAGACATGCGCCAAACTGCTGAGCCACCCAGGGATCCTAAAATATAAGTTTTAAAAAAAATTCTGTTTAAAACACAGCAACTTGAAAAGTATAGGTTTTTGAAATTTCATTTTAAAAATCATTTTAGAGTGCATTCTTTTTATCAGTGTGAAAACTCTTACAATTAGTCCACAAATTCCTAGATGATTTCTCTCATAGTACTATTCACTCTTACCATTTGGTCTAGCCATTTGTTTTTTTTTTTTAAGATTTTATTTATTTATTCATAGACACACAGAGAGAGGCAGAGACACAGGCAGAGGGAGAGGGAGAAGCAGGCTCCATGCGGGGAGCCAGATGTGGGACTCGATTCCTGGTTCTCCAGGATCACACCCCAGGCTGCAGGCGGCGCCAAACCACTGCGCCACCGGGGCTACCCTAGCCATTTGTTATATTACTTTTTTTTCTGTTCATAGTCTTTAGAAAAGCACTTTAAAAAAACTTTTAATATGTCGTTTGAGGATGAGTCTTGGAGACATCAAAGAAAACTGTTACCCAGCTTTGACAACCAAGTCAGTTCTGGGGCTCTTAGGAAAAATCATGGCTGTAAAGGGCAATGAACTAAGTAGAAGTACTTAAGTTCTAATATTGGGAGGAGCACTTGTACCCTGACTTATCCCTTAGGCCTAAACATTCAGATAAAATGGAGGTATCTGGGAATCTCTGGGTCGCTTAGTGGTTTGGTGCTTGCCTTTGGCCCAGGGCATGATCCTGGAGTCCCAGGATCAAGTCCCACATCGGGCTCCCTGCATGGAGCCTGCTTCTCCCCTGCGTGTGTCTCTGCCTCTCTCTCTCCTCTGTGTCTTTCGTGAATAAATAAAAAATCTTTTTAAAAAATGTAGGTATCCCTTAAACCATGGTTGTGGCATACTACTGGTATTGGTTTTGTTTCAGGGAACTATATCACCAGATTCTAAATGTCTCATGTTTATTTGGACTTACCAAATGTTTGATAACTTATTTAAAAAATCAATGATAAATATTAAAATCAGCCATGTAAAAAGACAAATGCTTGGATTTGGACATGTAACAATGCTGCTGTGTTTCATTGTTGTCTGACTATTCAAAAGACAAGACAATGTTGTATTAAGAACAAACTGAAAAAGAACTATAAAAATAATCATTAGAATTTTAAAAGTAAAATTTCAGCCTCTGATAATCTTTTGTTAATTTTATTGATAGAACCATAGTAAAATTTTCTGGTATTTTTATTTGCTTGATTATTTTCTTTCTTTATATTTCTACATGAAAATTTTATTTTATTTTTTTAAAGTTTATTTATTTATTTTAAGTGATCTCCATACCCAACATTGGGTTCAAACTCATGACCCTGAGATCAAGAGTCACATGCTCTTCTGACTCAGCCAGCCAGGTGCCCCTACATTAAAATTTTAAATAACACTTTCTTAGAAGAAAGTTTTAATCTTTAGAGATGATCTTTGGCTATAATTTTGCGTGGAATGACAAGTACTTCCTTTTTTTTTTTTTTTTTATCATGCCCATCTGCTTATACAGGAAGGAATAACTTCTTGTTGGAATATAGTGATTGACAGTTCTAATTTAGGCAGTGGTAGCAATTTCTGTGACTATAACTTGACTGTCTCTCAAAATGGTTGGGTTCAGCTTAATGAATATTAAATCTCTTAAAACTAATTAGATTTTAGGTGCAGAAAATACAAGTTGGAACTATGCCCTAGGACCTGAGGCCCTAAGTTGTGACAACCAAAAATATCTTCAGATAGTGCCAAATGTCGCATAAAATATCAAAGGATTTGTGTGTGTGGGTGTGTTTTGCTTTTGACTAGAATTAAATTCTTTTTTTGTTTTTTAAGATTCTATTTATTATTCATGAGAGACACAGAGAGAGGGAGAGACAGGTAGAGGGAGAAGCAGGCTTCCCAGGACCTCGGAATCATGCCCTGCACTGAAGGTAGACACTCAATCACTGAGCCACTCAGGCATCCTTGGAATTAAATTCTTTTAGTCTGATATCACTAGTTATCACCCATGATAATAAGTTCTGATTGATAGCTACATATGTGATTAATTTTTTAAAATTAATAACTATAAATTATCTTGCAGGCAAAAATTTTCTTTCTTTTTTTTTTTTTTTATGATAGTCACACACAGAGAGAGAGAGAGAGGCAGAGACATAGGCAGAGGGAGAAGCAGGCTCCTTGCACCGGGAGCCCGACATGGGATTCAATCACAGGGCTCCAAAACCGCGCCCTGGGCCAAAGGCAGGCACCAAACCGCTGCGCCACCCAGGGATCCCCAGGCAAAAATTTTCACACCAAAAAGTTCTAATAATTAAAAGCTTAGGAACCTATCATGGATACTGTATTAGTTATCTATTACTGTGTAACAAACTGCTCTAAAAGTTAGCAGCTTGAAACAATGAACATTTATTACTTGATAGTTTTTGAGGGCCAGGAATCCAGGAGCATCTTAGTTAGATACTTCTGTCTCAAAGTCTCTCATAAGGTTGCAATCAAGTTGTCAGCAAGCCTGCAGTTACTCCAAGGCACAACTGGGACTGGAATATCCATTTCAAAGTTCACTCATGTGGTTGTTGGCAAGCCTTGGGTCCTTGCTGATTTTTGGCCAAAGGCCAAACTTCTCACCAAGTGGGCCTCTCCATAAGGCTGTTCACACGTGGCAGCTTGCTTTCCTTAGAGTGAGAAATGCAAGAGGGAAAAAGAGCATACCCAAAACAGAAGCCACGGTCTTTTTTATATCCTATTCTTAGAAGTGGGATACAGTCACTTCTGCCACTTGCCATTGGTCAACTAGGCCAACCCAAGTACAGTCTCCTTCCAGAGATTACACAAATTAGTGAATACCAAGAGATAAGAATCATTTGGGACCATATGAGAGGCTAATTACCACAGACACATGTGGAATCCTCCACCAAGAACATTTTCCTGAGGCACCTGGGTGGCTCAGTGATTGAGTGTCTGCCTTTGGTTCAGGTCGTGATCCCAGGGTCCTGGGATTGAGTCCTGCATCAGGTTCCCCAGATTTTTGTTTAAAGATTTAAACAAAATCTTAAAAAAAAAAAAAAAAACACTACCTCCATCAACATATAGTACATAAGCATATTGCTTAATTGCCTCTAATATAAAGTGACAGCTAATAAATTAACTATGAATCCAATAATATAACACTGATCAGTGTTTTTAAAGATATTTTAATCGTTATCATTCACTTCAGAAAATCCCTTACTATACTCCATATGGCTCATGATCTTTGCCTAATGACAAGGTTTCTGTGTAAAATAAACTAGTACAGAAAAATATTAACATTTAGTTAATTGCACATATACACTGTGTGAAGTTTCTGAAGATATATGTGAGGATAGGAATTTTAAAAATAATTATTACATTAATAAAAATATTCCTGTAATTATAAGAAAGATAGTACATTTATGCATCAGAAATGAATTATTCTAGCAGCTTTGAAGTAGTTAGGACTTTAGGCTGCAGTCAACTGACACTTGATTTAAACTAGCTTAAACAAAAGGGAGTCTATTTGAAAAATCGCCACATCAACCAAACTGAGGAAGACAGACGTATGGCTCGGCCTCAGAAGTAACTAGGACTCATGGCTATCTCTCACTGATACCCAGTTTTTCTCTGCATGTTAATTTCTTTTTTTTATAAGATTTTATTTATTTATTCATGAGACACACACACAGAGAGAGAGAGAGACATAGGCAGAGGGAGAAGCAGGCTCCATGCAGGGAGCCCAATGCAGGACTCGATCCAGAGGCTCCAGGATCAGGCCCTGGGCTGAAGGCGGTGCTAAAACGCTGAGCCACCCTGGCTGCCCCCTGCATGTTATTTTCATTTTATTTTTCTCTCTTGAAGCAAGTTGGCTTTCTTTACATGGTAGTAAACATGGACCCCCATGACTCCCAAGTTTTAGATCTTAGAGCTATGGTCACCTGAATGATAATGATTTGACTGGCTGCATTATATGTATAAAAATCTAGAGAAAGAGCTGTGATTAGCCCAACTCAAATCATTCCCAAAGCAACTGTTGGGGGCGAGGAGCAAGTTCATGGAGAAAATGACTATTTCTATATAAATCAGATGAATTGGGGATCCCTGGGTGGCGCAGCGGTTTAGCGCCTGCCTTTGGCCTAGGGCGTGATCCTGGAGACCTGGGATAGAATCCCACGTCAGGCTCCCGGGTGCATGGAGCCTGCTTCTCCCTCTGCCTGTGTCTCTGCCTCTCTCTCTCTCTCTGTGTGACTATCATTAAAAAAAAAAAAATCAGATGAATTGGAGGGAAGAAAAGATAGTTCCGAGGAAAGATGTTCGTTTTTTAAAATTATTTTAAAGATTTTATTTATTTATTCATGAGAGAAACAGAGAGAGAGGCAGAGACAGAGGCAGAGGGAGAAGCAGGCTCCATGTGGTCCTGATGCAGGACTTGATCCTGAGACTCCAGGATCATGCCCTGAACATGAAGGCAGACGCTCAACCGCTGAGCCACTCAGGCATCCCCAGAGGTAGTGTTCTAAAATCAATAACCTTTGAGATTTATCAGAATTTTTCTCATAGTATTTACTTTTAAATTAGTTTCAGTTTTAATATAAACTACAAACATTACACATAAAATATAATCATTCACATAAGCAGTTGCTATCAAGGTAATATTGCTTAAAGTCATTGATTCCTTAAGCTCTCTACATTCCAGGTGTTCTTTTTGATACTCTTATCAATTTCAGATTATTAACAACATCAAAATTACTCATATCTATAATCTTTGTTGATTAAGCAGTAATACTGATTTTCCCTAGCTTTTTTTTTTTTTTTTTTTTTTAGATTTTATTTACTTGTTTGAGAGAGAGAGAGAGAGAGACAGCAAGGACCTCAGTAGTCAAAGTGGATAATCAAATATTTGTGTTTTAAAAGGAGGGAGAAGGGGTTCCTGAATGGCTCAGTTGGCTAAGGGTCCAATTCTTGGTTTCAGCTCAGGTCATGATCTCAGAACAGTCTCTGCACTCAGCTTGGAATCTGCTGGAGATTGTCTCCCTCTCCTTATCTCTCTGCTTCTCCCCTGCTTCATACACTCTTTCTCTCTAAAATAAATAAATAAACCCTTTAAAATAAATAAATAAAAGGAGGTAGAAGGTTGCAGGGAGTGGGGAGTTGGAAAGGAAAGTTTTTATGGAAGATTTTCTCACTGGTATTATTTCTTCTTTTTACTTATTTCTAAAAATATTCTTTAGAAATCTTAAACACACTGAAAAACAGTATGATAGTATGATAGGATTTCAAATATAAATATATATTTTTATTTTGTAGGTTATATATCAATTGATGCCATGAAGAAATTCCTTGGGGAGCTACATGACTTTATTCCTGGAAGCTCAGGATATTTGGCATACCATGTTCAAAATGAAATTAACATGTCTGCTATAAAAAACAAATTGAAGAGAAAATGTTAAATTGTCTTTATATCTAGGCATTTATTTTTTATAAAATATTACTAAAGATGTGCATAATTTTACATTCTCTCCTTTCATACAGGGGGAGGGGGATATAAGGGAGAGTTCCGTTTCTCAAAATGTATCTTTAGGTAATTCAGAATCATTCTGGCTCCATGATTTGACATTTCGGCTGGATTTTTTCCCCACCTTATAAGGCTATGTACACAGATTCTGATTACACAGTTGTTATGGAGTAACTGTAATTGAAACACTTCATAAGAAGTCTCAGTCTCTCTCTCTGTCAGATGCTCTTTTGGCTTTAACATTCTATTATATATGTTTTTCTAGGCTCAGTGTTGTAAATGCTAAGTTTATGATTCTGATCATCTTATTTTGATTTTAAAAAATTAGAATGTTATCGTTGAGTTCTGAATTATTGATTCTGACTTGAAAAATATGGAGTAAAACATTTTAATGATTCAGTCTTCATGTGTGGACAGTTCCTGAAAGCATGTACCAGAAGTGATTTAATGTAACAAGCACTTTATCAACTGAAATGAGCCCTCAAATCACCTTAGAATCACAGTGCTCGAAATAACCTTAGAGAACAATGAGGAAATGAAGGCCTTGAGAGGGTGTTTTGCCTAGGGTGACTAATTGGAGGCCAAATCAGGAAATAACATTATGAAATGTATGAGTGATGTTTGCAAATATAGTTTAATTTAGGGGTCAGAAGGGCTATGGGAAATAGGAAAGACAGAGGAGAACCAGAACACTGAAGAAAAAAGAACTTTAGGGCAGATTTATGAGCCCCAGTGAAATATATAAAATCTACAGTGAAATAATATTTATACGTGGCATGAAGGTTTTTAGGATCTATAAGAAAATCAATCCACAAAGAATAAATTAGTAACTCACCCAGTGCAGAAACTACCTCATCATCCCAAACAAACTGGCAGATACTTATCAACAATCTTTGAGAGGAGAATTTGTGCATGATATATCTTTTATATAATTTTTGTGAGGCTATCATATTTTTTTTAAGATTTTATGTATTCATTCATGAGAGACACTGAGAGAGAGGCAGAGCAAGAAGCAGGCCCTCGCAGGGAGCCCCATGTGGGACTCGATCCCCTGATCCATGGACCCCAGGATCTTGCCTTCAGCGGAAGGCAAACACTTAACCGCTGAGCCACCCAGATGTCCCAAGGCTATCATATTTTAAAAACTACTTTCTCCTAGGAAGTTTAGAATACCAGCTGTAGAATTATCTAAAGAAAATGCACTTTTTTGGAACTTGGGTAGCTCAGTCCATTAAGCATCTGCCTTCGGTTCAGGTCATGATCTCAGAGTCCTGGGATCAAGTCCCACATTGGGCTTCCTGCTTAGTAGGAGTCTGCTTATCCCTCACTGCCTGCCGCTTGTGCTCTCTTTCTGTGTCAAATAATAAAATATTTTTAAAAATATACTTTTTAAAAATGTATGATCCCTGGCTTTTCTTCCATGACTCAGATTTCATAATGCAACATTAGAACAGTCTCAGCATCATCATTTAAAGGTTCTATTTCCCCATATGGTGACTTTTCCTTTATTTGTACTTGTAAATTAAAAAAACCCAACTAAATGTTAATGACCTTTTCCTGGAACATATTAAATATTATCTCCTTTGAACACTTTGTCTCAGTCACATTAAATTGTTTCTTACATAGAAATTAAGCCTATTCTGGACTTAAAGTAATTATTAAAAGGATCAGGATCCCTGGGTGGATCAGTGGTTTAGCACCTGCTTTCCATCCAGGGTGTGATCCTGGAGTCCTGGGATTGAGCCCCACATTGGGCTCCCTGCATGGAGCCTGCTTTTCCCTCTGCCTATGTCTCTGCCTCTCTCTGTGTGTGTTTCTCATGAATAAATAAAATCTTTTAAAAAAAATTATTACAAGGATTAAGTAAATTTACATTAGGTAAATTTACATTGGGATTTTCTGGAAATGTTCAAGTGTTTTTCTGATATATATCATATGCATGTGTTAACATAGTAAATGAAAAACTACAACCAAAGTGTTTCCAAACAAAAGTAATTATATCTTTAGAAGTATAGAAAAGGCCAGAAGCAATGTATATCCTTGAAATACTACCAGAAGCAAAAAATCAGTTGATAACATAAGCTTTCAGGAATTGGAAACATGAACAAATAGGCAAAGACAAACTGTTTTGTTAAAAGTTGATGGTCTTAATGGGAAGTAAAGGAAGTATGATTTTATTGCCCATTTAAACATTTATTTTTATTTGCCTAGTATATCCGATGGATATTGCCTCTGGCTCCCATCTTATAAAAATGTTCTCCCCACTTTAGAACTTTTGGTTATTTCTCTACCCTTTTGCAAACATGTCTCCTCTGATGCTTTTCACTATTAGGCATAGTCATTCCTCATAATGCTTAATTTAGTGTATAGTTCTCAGTTCATCTTACTTCTTTCATCCTTTGTGACCAGATTATTTTTCTCTCTAGCTTTCGGTAGGGTTTTGTGACATTAGATAAATTGTGAGTTATTGGCAAAGTCTGCTAGTTATTTCTGAATGTGTGTTTACCTTTCTTTCATGATGATAGAACCCCTGATTTCTATATGGACACATGCTACCTGGAATAAAGGCCATATTTTCAGTCTCACGTCACAATGTTTTGGTCAATCGATGCACAGCAGAAAGGGCATTTGGGAACTTAAAGACCTTTGGCACATACACTTTGTCCCTTTTCCTTCCACCCATACTCTTTCTGTTTTTTTCATCTTGTTGCTTGGATGTGGTAGCTATCATTTGAACCATAATAGCAGGACCTATCTCCTGTAGTTGACAGAGCAGTAGATTGAGCCTGGGGCCTATAGCAGGAGCCTGGGATCCTGAGGTCATTGTGGAGATATCTGCCATCTCAGCCCTGGGTTGCCTACCTCTAGACTTTTATGTGATTGAAAAATAAGCTTCTGCTTTTCTTATGGCACTGTATTTTCATGTCTCTTACTGCTAAACTACTCGTAAGTGAGGCTTGAGGACAGGCCACTGACCTTATTCTATATGGGAGAACCGTATGGAAGGTACTAATTCTTTACACCTGAAAAATATTGACAGATTTGTGATGCTGAAAATATATAGATGACCTTAGGGACATCACATATCTATTAGATTTATACTAGTTTTAGTAAAAAATAGTTCTTTCAAATGGAGTGTTTGGTTACACTAAGCAATATGAAAACCTAAAAATAACTTCATTGTTTAATAATGAGTGAACAGAAGGACACTTTAGATCATTTTATTTAATTATTTATAAAAGATTTTATTTATTCATAAGAAGGAGAGAGAGAGCACACGAGAGAGCACGAGTGGGGCAAAGGGGGACAGAGGAAGAGGTTGAGAAGCAGCCCTCTTCCCCAGGAGCAGGGAGCCTGATACAGGGCTTAATCCCAGGACCCCAAGATCATGATCTGAACTGAAAGCAGATGCTTAACCAGCTGAGCCGCCAAGGCATTCATCTTAAGTCACATTGCATCAATTTAATGGAATAGCCATTTTTTCCTTTTAACAGCTTTATTTATAATCTCATACCACACAATTCACCAATTTAAATGGTATAATTCAATGGTTTTTAGTATCATGACAGAGTTGTGCAACTACCACCAAAATCTGATTTAGAACATTTCACCACCCTAAAAAGAAACTCCTTACCCACTAGTAGTCATTGCCTATGCCCTCTCACCCCTGCCTCAGCCCTAGGCAACTACTCATCTACTTTCTGTCTCCATAGATTTGCCATTCTGGACACATTATATTCATGGAATCATATAACACTCTCTTTTGTGACAGGCTTCTTTGACTTAGCATAACATATTCTAGAGTTCATCTGTGTTATATCATGTACCAGCATTTCATTTCTTTTTATTGCCAATAGTATTCCATTGTTTGGATAATACTACATTTTATTTATCTATTCATTAATTGATTGACATTTAAATTGTTTCTGCTTTTTGACTATTATGAATAATGGTGTTATGAACATTTTGTGTATAAGTTTTTGTGTGAATATGTGTTTCCGTTTCTCTTTGGTATATAAAACTGGAATTGCTCGATCACATGGTAACTATGTTTAACATTTTGAAGACTGCCAAACTGCTTTCCAAAGTGGCTGCATCATTTATCCACCAGCAATGTATGAGGGTTTCAAATTGTCCACATCCTCACCAACACTTATTATCTGGTTTGTTGTTGTTTTTTCAATATAGCCATCCTAGTGTGTGTGACATACCTCATTGTGCTTTTGATTTGCATTTCTCTGATGGCTAATGACGTTGAACATTTTTTCACATGCTTACTGTCTATTTTTATAACTTCTTTGGGGGAATGTCTAATTGTCAGAGGAAGTCATCAAGAGGATGTGACTACTGATTGACCTGCAACATGGACCCAGGCAATTGGAGGCTCCTGATCCCTTTCCCTGTCCCTAAAATGTGTGTTCTGCTCACTGTTTCCCACAGTGAGAACCATTTTCAAGGATGCAGACTTGAGAGAGCAATATGGCATTTAGACCATCTGGTTGATATATGTACTGAACTCAGTTAAAGCCTCTATATAAATTTTTAAGATTCTGGTGGGTGGATGCAGATATCTACTTATCCTGCAACTGCCTAAGACAAGCCTTGTATGTAAGTTCTCTTGCTTATAACCTGTCACCTATCAGTCTGGAGCGATCTGCCTCTTTCTTCAGCCTTTCCTTGCCCTCTGTGTGTAGGGCCAGTTACAGATTTCACTTGCAAAGCTCCTGAATTTGCAAATCAACATCTATTCAAGTTCTTTGCCCATTTTTAGTTTGGGTTGCCCTTTTATTATTGAGTTGAAATAGTTTTTTTATCATATTCTGGATATAAGTCCCTTATATCTATATGATTTATAAATATTTTCTCCTACTCTATGGGTTGTCTTTCACTACCTTGATGGCATTGTTTGTAGCAGACAAGTTTTTAATTTTGATG